AGGTGTATGGGTCATCTTGTCAGGTGTATGGGTCATCTTGTCAGGTGTATGGGTCATCTTGTCAGGTTATGGGTCATCTTGTCAGGTGTATGGGTCATCTTGTCAGGTGTATGGGTCATCTTGTCAGGTGTATGGGTCATTTTGTCAGGTGTATGGGTCATCTTGTCAGGTGTATGGGTCATCTTGTCAGGTGTATGGGTCATCTTGTCAGGTGTATGGGTCATCTTGTCAGGTATAGGTCATCTTGTCAGGTGTATGGGTCATATTGTCAGGTGTATGGGTCATCTTGTCAGGTGTATGGGTCATCTTGTCAGGTGTATGGGTCATCTTGTCAGGTTATGGGTCATCTTGCAGGTGTATGGGTCATCGTGTCAGGTGTATGGGTCATCTTGTCAGGTGTATGGGTCATCTTGTCAGGTGTATGGGTCAGGTTGTCATGTGTATGGGTCTTCTTGTCAGGTGTATGGGTCATCTTGTCAAGTGTATGGGTCATATTGTCAGGTATAGGTCATCTTGTCAGGTGTATGGGTCATATTGTCAGGTGTATGGGTCATCTTGTAAGGTGTATGGGTCAGGTTGTCAGGTGTATGGGTCATCTTGTCAGGTGTATGGGTAATCTTGTCAGGTGTATGGGTCATCTTGTCAGGTGTATGGGTCAGGTTGTCATGTGTATGGGTCATCTTGTCAGGTGTATGGGTCATCTTGTCAGGTGTATGGGTCATCTTGTCAGGTGTATGGGTCATCTTGTCAGGTGTATGGGTCATCTTGTCAGGTGTATGGGTCTTCTTGTCAGGTGTATGGGTCAGGTTGTCATGTGTATGGGTCATCTTGTCAGGTGTATGGGTCTTCTTGTCAGGTGTATGGGTCATCTTGTCAGGTGTATGGGTCATCTTGTCAGGTGTATGGGTCATCTTGTCAGGTGTATGGGTCAGCTTGTCAGGTGTATGGGTCATCTTTTCAGGTGTATGGGTCAGCTTGTCAGGTGTATGGGTCTTCTTGTCATAATACTGATGTGTGTGATGGTAGTGATGTGTGTCATGGTACTGATGTGTGTGATGGTAGTGATGTGTGTGATGTTAGTGATGTGTGTGATGTTAGTGATGTGTGTGATGGTAGTGATGTGTGTGATGGTAGTGATGTGTGTGATGGTAGTGATGTGTGTGATGTGTGTGATGGTAGTGATGTGTGTGATGGTAGTGATGTGTGTGATGGCAGTGATGTGTGTGATGGTAGTGATGTGTGTGATGGTAGTGATGTGTGTGATGGTAGTGATGTGTGTGATGGTAGTGATGTGTGTGATGGTACTGATGTGTGTGATGGTACTGATGTGTGTGATGGTACTGATGTCGGTGATGGTACTGATGTCGGTGATGGTATTTATTCTATTGAAATTGTTTCGTTTCGTTTAGCTGATGATCGAAAACCAATCTTACAGTCTGAATCAGCGGTTGAACCGGCTCTCGGCACCAAGACCGACCATGGTGCCACTCACAGACACGCTGAGGCTGTCCTGCTCAGCCAACACCATCAGCTACAGCAACAAACTCACAACTTCCTCAATGCAAACAGCCACACACTGGGCGACCCGTTTGTTAGCATGGCCAACATGACAAGCATGGCCAACATGACAAGCATGGCCAATATGACAAGCATGGCCAACATGACTAACATGGCCAACATGACAAGCATGGCCAACATGACTAACATGGCCAATATGACAAGCATGGCCAACATGACCACACCTAGCAGATCGTCAACACTTGCTATGTACGGCCAGCTGTCCCCTGGGCCACAGATGGAGACTAAACCAAATGTGTCAGCTGTCAATCATTATCTCACTCATTAAGTCAGCTGTCAATCTTTATCTCGCTCATTAAGTCAGCTGTCAATCTTTATCTCACTCATTAAGTCAGCTGTCAATCATTATCTCACTCATTAAGTCAGCTGTCAATCATTATCTCACCCATTAAGTCAGCTGTCAATCTTTATCTCACTCATTAAGTCAGCTGTCAATCATTATCTCACTCATTAAGTCAGCTGTCAATCATTATCTCACCCATTAAGTCAGCTGTCAATCATTATCTCACTCATTAAGTCAGCTGTCAATCATTATCTCACTCATTAAGTCAGCTGTCAATCATTATCTCACCCATTAAGTCAGCTGTCAATCATTATCTCACTCATTAAGTCAGGTGACTTAGCCTTAGATCGATTCCGCCTATCGTTAAGAACATTGATTCATGTAAAAATCAATCGATCTAAATTAGTGGATCTAATCGATCTAAACCAGTTTGTTAGAATCATTAGACCAGAAGCAACAGAACAAAAATAAGAAATGACTGAATACAGCTACATAGATTGTCGTCCCTGACTGAATACAGCTACATAGATTGTCGTCCCTGACTGAATACAGCTACATAGATTGTTGTCCCTGACTGAATACAGCTACATAGATTGTCACCCCTGACTGGATACAGCTACATAGATTGTCGTCCCTGACTGAATACCGCTACATAGATTGTCGTCCCTGACTGAATACAGCTATATAGATTGTCGTCCCTGACTGAATACATCTACATAGATTGTCGTCCCTGACTGAATACAGCTACATAGATTGTCGTCCCTGACTGAATACAGCTACATAGATTGTCGTCCCTGACTGAATACAGCTACATAGATTGTCGTCCCTGACTGAATACAGCTATATAGATTGTCGTCCCTGACTGAATACAGCTACATAGATTGTTGTCCCTGACTGAATACAGCTACATAGATTGTCACCCCTGACTGGATACAGCTACATAGATTGTCGTCCCTGACTGAATACAGCTACATAGATTGTCGTCCCTGACTGAATACAGCTACATAGATTGTGGTCCCTGACTGAATACAGCTACATAGATTGTCGTCCCTGACTGAATACATCTACATAGATTGTCGTCCCTGACTGAATACAGCTACATAGATTGTCGTCCCTGACTGAATACAGCTACATAGATTGTCGTCCCTGACTGAATACAGCTACATAGATTGTCGTCCCTGACTGAATACAGCTACATAGATTGTCGTCCCTGACTGAATACAGCTACATAGATTGTCGTCCCTGACTGAATACAGCTACATAGATTGTCGTCCCTGACTGAATACAGCTACATAGATTGTCGTCCCTGACTGAATACAGCTACATAGATTGTCGTCCCTGACTGAATACAGCTACATAGATTGTCACCCATGAGACCGCCCCACCCCTCTGTACAATAGGATTTAATATACTCTTTAAAAGTATTAATTTATTGTTAAATTGATTGACTTATTTTTAGCGTTAAACTATGAAGCCTGAAATTTGAGAAAGCTATTGATAAAATAAGTGGTAATTTACTTTGAAATAAGCACATCAGATGTATTAAACATATAAAATGTAAATGTGTAGGCCTATAACATTAAGGGTAGGTGTTAATATAGCTCGAATATAGGATGTGTAAATAGCACGGATGGTAGATGTGTAAATAGCACGAATGGTAGATGTGTAAATAGCATGAATGATAGATGTGTAAATAGCACGAATGGTAGATGTGTAAATAGCACGAATGGTAGATGTGTAAATAACATGAATGATAGATGTGTAAATAGCACGAATGGTAGATGTGTAAATAGCACGAATGGTAGATGTGTAAATAACATGAATTGCGAGGTTACTTATGTTAACAGCTTTGGGCGAGGTGTGACTCCAAAGTATTTATTTGTTTCGATTTTTTAGTAATTTATAATATCTAAAAGTAAATAATAATTCTATCTATATTGTAATAAAATATTGTATATAAGATTAAACAATAGAAGCATTTAAACAGTGTTTGTCTCATTTGAAACGATTGTATAAAGATTTGACAAGAATCTGTTTTATAAACTTTTCATTCATAAATCTCGAAACATGTTCTTCTTTAAGAAAGCTACCGTCCTTGTCATCTCGACAGAGAGATTAAAGATCTCCAATTGAATGAGCAGATCAAACGCTCTAGCTCACACTTTATCTGACAAAACTTAACTCACACCAAACGAGCTAGCCGTGTAAACACGATTCAGCCCCAAACATTCAATTCAAACTCTGGCCCACTAACAACCACGACAAAAAATGAAACCAAGTTTCAGAGATCTATCCTTCTACATAGAGCGCACTCCAGCCAGGAGCGTATCTCCATAAGGCCATATCTCGCACGGGTCTATCGCACCGCCCTGGATCCCGGGGAGAAATACATTAATATCTCAAAAGGATACCTCACCATTTCTGTTATGTACGACGCCATCTTGGTTTCTGCTCAGTGTCGGACTCACGCCTATCTCGACGCTTATCTGCTCTTAACGTCCGCGCATCGAAGCGCGTGCCATACTGGTACGCATGCGCAATCTACCACCCGCTGTTGGATTTATGTGTAGTAAAGATCTTATTATTTGATAGGTTCGTGGCACCAGTCCCAAATGACAGGCACCAACCCCACAAATGGCAGGCACCAGCCCCACAAATGGCAGGCACCAACCCCACAAATGGCAGGCACCAACCCCACAAATGGCAGGCACCAACCTCACAAATGGCAGGCACCAACCCCACAAATGGCAGGCACCAGCCCCACAAATGGCAGGCACCAGCCCCACAAATGGCAGGCACCAACCCCACAAATGGCAGGCACCAACCCCACAAATGGCAGGCACCAACCCCACAAATGGCAGGCACCAACCTCACAAATGGCAGGCACCAACCCCACAAATGGCAGGCACCAACCCCACAAATGGCAGGCACCAACCCCACAAATGGCAGGCACCATCCCACAAATGGCAGGCACCAACCCCACAAATGGCAGGCACCAGCCCCACAAATGGCAGGCACCAACCCCACAAATGGCAGGCACCAACCCCACAAATGGCAGGCACCAACCCCACAAATGGCAGGCACCAACCCCACAAATGGCAGGCACCAACCCCACAAATGGCAGGCACCAGGAGAAGATGTGAGAGAGAGACAGACAGAAGATGTAGAGCGAGACGGATGTATGCAGAAACGTAGAGATCGAAGATGTGAGCTGAGAGACAGAAGATGTGAGCTGAGAGACAGAAGAAGTGAGCTGAGAGACAGAAGATGTGAGATACAAGTGTTAGTAGATTGAGGTACGGAGTGATACAGTATTTGGGCCTGTAACAGTGGAGGTTTGTTGAGATTCACATAATTATCTGAACTGTGATTATTCATGAAGAAATAAATTGAAGTAATATTGAACCTGCGGGCAGAGGGTGCTTCTTTTTATCAGGTGGGTGCCGTGAGGAAGGGGTCGCACAAGACCTAACGTCACACATGCTGTTGGCCGCTACAACTACTACTCTTGGTTACGAAAACAAACCAAATCCAAACGCAAAACCAACCAAAAACACAAATACAAACCCAAACAAAAAAAAAACACAAACAAAAACAAAAACGAAAAAAGAAAGAACAAAAACGAACCAAATCAAAACGAAACCACTAACGCAAACCCACCTAAACACAAAGAAAACACTAACGCGAACATAAACGCCCGGGGCGGAATCACCTGTTTTAGCTTAATGAACGACTATAGTACCCCAACTTATTCATAGTCTTTTGCACTCACTTAAACGAACGCGCCTGTTTCAATTTAATGAACAATTTTAATACTCCAAGCTTATCCGTAAAATACCTACAACATTTGCACTTGATCAATCCCCGCTAATTATGTAATTATTTTTTTTTCCCAACACCAAAACAAAGTAATTAAAAAGTAAATTATTTTCCACAAAATGCAATGGTTTTATAAAGGGAAGTAATTTTGTTTTCCTAATTTATCAAAGGGAAGTAAGTGCTGTAGGACTAAATAAAGACATAATTAGAATTTTTGTAAAAGATGATATTTTTTTAAAACTTGTGTTTAATGAACATGCCGACAATTATTACTATAATTTGAAAAATGAAAATTATTTCCCAACACTTTCAATAGTAATTTTTTAGCTCATAAATTTAGACAAATGCGCACGATAATTTTCTAACACTTAAATTCATCCAAGACCAACGACAAACATATGCGTTACATACAGAACTGAGCTTTATATATTAGACTAGCCGTCCCGGCCAGGCCCTGCTCTGGCTTCTGTGAAAAACCTTTCTGTTAAAGACCATTACCTGTGTGTTTAGTAATCATCATAAACCCGGCATTGCCCACCCAAATCACAACCAACCAAAACAACAAAACAACAAAACGCGAACATAACGCTAACACAATTACAAATACAAACGAAAACAAAAACCTAACAACAAACCCAACCACAAACACCAATACCAAAAAAAAAAAAAACATCGAAAAAGCAAACGAAAACAAACCAAATCCAAACGCAAAACCAACCAAAAACACAAATACAAACCCAAACAAAAAAAAACACAAACAAAAACGAAAAAAGAAAGAACAAAGACGAACCAAATCAAAACGCAACCACTAACGCAAACCCACCTAAACACAAAGAAAACACTAACGCGAACATAAACGCCCGGGGCGGAATCACCTGTTTTAGCTTAATGAACGACTATAGTACCCCAACTTATTCACAGTCTTTTGCACTCACTTAAACGAACGCGCCTGTTTCAATTTAATGAACAATTTTAATACTCCAAGCTTATCCGTAAAATACCTACAACATTTGCACTTGATCAATCCCCGCTAATTATGTAATATTTTTTTTCCCAACACCAAAACAAAGTAATTAAAAAGTAAATTATTTTCCACAAAATGCAATGGTTTTATAAAGGGAAGTAATTTTGTTTTCCTAATTTATCAAAGGGAAGTAAATGCTATAGGACTAAATAAATACATAATTAGAATTTTTGTAAAAGATGATATTTTTTTAAAACTTGTGTTTAATGAACATGCCGACAATTATTACTATAATTTGAAAAATGAAAATTATTTCCCAACACTTTCAATAGTAATTTTTTAGCTCATAAATTTAGACTAATGCGCACGATAATTTTCTAACACTTAAATTCATCCAAGACCAACGACAAACATATGCATTACATACAGAACTGAGCTTTATATATTAGATAATAAGACAATGGGATGCAATGTAAAAGCACCGCATGGTGCGATGTTTACTTTCCTGGTTCCGAAATCTATAGTGATGACAGACGGACGAACACACTAACTAGCCGCGTATATTATAGATACACATACATTGATATATGTATATATATATATATATATATATATATATATATATATATATATATATATATATATATATATATATATATATATATATATATATATATATATATATATATATATAAATATATATATAAATATATATATATATAAATATATAAATATTAGGCCTATTATTTATTACGAGCCGACCCGCAGCGTATCATACGCCGCTATTTAGTTGTTTTATTTTCTACTTTTCAGTAATTCATAATTTGTGAATTCGACAGTACCGATGCTGCCACTGAAAATATTTGCTTTAAAACACTACCCCCCCCCCTTTCCCCTAACCCCGACCCTACACCCCCCCCCCCCCCCCCCCCCGTGAAAGCAGCCTCCTCTTAGTTATTTCTTAGTTACCTCCTGTAAGTTTAAAATCGAACTAAATTATCTGCCCCTAATAGAAACCCGGCTCTACAGCTCTACGATTTGTAGACATTTAGCTTTGTAAACATTTAGCGTGACCACAGCTCACCGGACAATGTGGGGGTGGGGTGGGGGTGGTAGTGATAGTGATAGAGAGAAAGAGAGGGGACTGCAAGGAGGCGCTTGCAGCTTGTTTTCTAACGGCTCCCAGAAGAGAATTATATATATAGATTATTATTATTATTATTATTATTATTATTATTATTATTATTATTATTATTATTATTATTATTGTTATTATTGTTATTATTATTGTTATTATTGTTATTGTTATTATTATTGTTATTATTATTATTGTTATTATTATTATTATTTATTATTATTATTATTATTATTATTATTATTATTATTTTTACTTTCTCGTATATACAAAGTATAGAAAAACTATTGTAATCTTGAAAAACATAATTTTGCAATCTTGTCCGTATGTCTGTGTGTCTGTGTGTCTGTGTGTCTGTGTGTCTGTGTGTCTGTGTGTAAACACGATTACTTGAGTACCGTTACAGCTAGGTTGATGAAATTTCATAAATAAGTATTTTGTCAAAATCGTAGATCCGTATCAACTTTTGAGCGATTTCCGATAACCGGAAGTGGTACTTTTACTACTTTGAATTTTTCAAAAGCCTATAACTTGAGTACTATTTTAGATAGATAAATGAAATTTCACATGTAAGTAAAAGATCTAATTCTCTACCTTCTATTAAATTTTGAGTAATTTTCGTTGACCGGAAGTGCTAATTTACGCTATTTCCGATTTCTCAAAAAACGCACGTAAATTTATAAAGTACTAATAATATCCCGCACTATTTTGCACATTTTATTAGGCGTTCACTTGGTGCGCAATACTTTTTTACTCTCTCGAATTACGTAGTATAGAGAAAGTATTGTAATCGTGCAAAAAAAAAAAATCGAGATTTTTACAAATCTCGACGTTTTACACCTCACTGATACGGAAAAACATAATTTTGCAATCTTGTCCGTATGTCTGTGTGTCTGTGTGTGTCTGTGTGTGTGTGTGTAAACACGATTACTTGAGTACCGTTACAGCTAGGTTGATGAAATTTTATATATAAGTATTTTCTCAAAATCGTAGATCCATATCAACTTTTGAGCGATTTCCGATAACCTGAAGTGGTACTTTTTCTACTTTGAATTTTTCAAAAGCCTATAACTTGAGTACTATTTCAGATAGATAAAGTAAAATATCTAATTCTCTACCTTCTGTTAAATTTTGAGTAATTTACGTTGACGGGAAGTACTAATTTACGCTATTTCCGATTTCTCAAAAACGCATCTAAATTTATAAAGTACTAATAATATTGCGCATCATTATGAACATCTTTATTCGGCGTTCGCTTGGTGTGCAATACATTTTTCTATGAGATTCTATTTTATTTTAAAAAGTTTATGTATTTAAAAATGGATTAAAAATCATAACTATATCCCGAGTTCCCATCCACTGTTGTTTTATATAAGAATATTCGAGAAAGTTTAGGGGAGATCACTCCCGGTTTATTTTACGAGATTCCATTCTATTAAAAAAAAGTTTAAGTAATTAAAAATGGATTATAAATATTGTCTATATATGTCCTTAGTTGCCATCCCTCGTAGATTTATATTAGAATATCCGAGAAAGTTTAGGGGAGATCACTCCCGGTTTATTGATGATAATATTGATATAATTATTATTATTATTATTATTGATATTATTATTATTATTATTATTATTATTTTCCTTCTTCTTATTATTATTATCATTTGTAATAGTAGCAGCTGTTGTTGTTGTTGTTGTTGTTGTAATAAAAGTGGTAGAAGTTGTTGTTATTGTAATAGTACTGGTTGTAGTAGTTGTAGTTATCGTTGTTGTTGTAATATTAATAGTGGTTGTAGTTGTTGTAGCTGTAGTTGTTGTTGTAATATTTGTAGTGGTAGTAGTTGTTGTAGTAGTTATTGTAGTTGTTGTTGTAGTTGTTGTAGTTGTTGTTGTTATTGTAATTGTTGTTATTGTAGTTGTTGTAGTTGTTTTTGTAGTTTTTTGTTGTAGTTGTTGTTGTAGTTGTTGTTGTAGTTGTTGTGGTAGTTGTTGTTTTAGTTGTTTTTGTAGTTGTTGCTGTAGTTGTTGTTGTAGTATTTGTTGTTGTGGTTGTTGCTGTAGCTGTTGTTGTAGTAGTTGTTGTTGTAGTTGTTGTTGTAGTTGTTGTTGTAGTTGTTGTTGTAGTTGTAGTTGTTGTTGTAGTTGTTGTTGTTGTAGTTGTTGTTGTTGTAGTTGTTGTTGTTGTAGTTGTTGTTGTAGTTGTTGTTGTAGTTGTTGTTGTAGTTGT